GGTGATGCTAGAGAGATGACAAATGAAGAAGTGAATTGCCTCGACGGAAAATGTCTCCAAGAGAAGATTGTCTTCCCACCATTGCCACCATTTCCACCATTGCCACCAGGGGTTTGCAAAGAAGCTAAAGATTGCATCAAGTATTGTCCTAAGAAATGCAAGCCTGGAACCTGTGTTTGTAAGTGTACTGGTGGAATTGGAAGCTGTACTTGTACATGCTAAGAGATTCAAAACCACCATAGTTTTCTACTTATAGATAGAGAGGAACAAAAAACATTCAAATTTTTAAAATTGTTTGAATCAATTTATACTCCCCTTTGAAAACATATCTCTGCATCTGCAACAGTCAATAAAATTGGAATTTGATAAAATTAAAGTACTAAAGGCCTAAAACAGGTCCAATCATGATCAAGCCATGTATATTCATGTTTCTTACAATTCTTTAACGGCTAACAATAGCTTCTGAGAAAGCTCTGTCTCTGCACAACTTTTGTGTACTCTTGTTAAGAATTTTCTAAGAGCGAGGATCACACGAAGAGGGCTCTCGAGATGGACAGCATGGCCAGACTCCGGGATTTCAATCGTCTCGATTATATTTTTTTCGCCTTTCTTGCTCTTACTCATCTCGCAGTACATTCTTATAGCAATTTTCTTGAATTTGACATCTTTCTCACCGAAGACAAGCGAGATATTTGTATCACAATTCTCCAACTCTTCCCACAATGACCTATTTTTCAAAGAAGACAACATGATCCTATTTGAATCAGATCCATGGGAAAAAAGAAATTTGCATGCAATGTGAACTTACGGTTGTCTCCCACTGCTTAGATCCGAGAGGAGCTTTGCAACAGTAAGGACATCATCATGTAGCAACCGGCTTGCAACTATTTTCCTAAAATGGGGATGACTTCTCAAGCTAGTCATTGCAAAAATCGCTCATAAGAATATGAATTTAAATCCAGAAAACTAAAACATCAAATTACAAAAAGTATTAAGAAAGTCACCTTTTCCACAAGCCTCCATTGTACCAGTTCTCCAGAAAGATTTCTAGTCCATGGTCAACCAACATTCGTGCTTTAGAATCATCTGTTGCACTTCGAACCTTCCTTGCAACTGGATCCTTGATCCCAGGGCTCCCCGATACCACAACAGTTCCTTCGATCTACAGAACAGCATTCAAATTCCGTTATCCACATTATTAAACAATGTTGAATTTTCAGACAAAGGGAACCCACCTTGTTGCTAAATCTCAAAGCCATGTACAGTGCAATTCTTGCTCCCATGGAATATCCAACGACGGTAACTTTCCCAGGAGTAATTTGCTCAATCAACTTATACAGTGTCTTCGCTATCATCTCCATTGAAAAAGTTGGCACTTGCTGGGTCTCACTAGCATGGCTTTGTACCCTTGAGCTTCCATGACCAGGAATATCAACTGAAATACATCTTGCAGAGCCCGAGATACCCTTCATGATGGGGATCCATTCTTCACCAGTTCCAAGAAATCCATGAAGAAACAAAACTACATTTCCCTGAAATACATTACAGAAGAGTGAAAAACAAGGACGAAATTGACCACAAACTGCAGGCTTCAAGTGTTTATAGCTTCAGATATACAAAATCATGAACAATCACAAACTTACCTCTGCATTCTGTCCAATATCGTGGATTCTTATGAAATGAGAGAAACCATCTACATCCACCCTCAGTTCATGCCTCCGGACAGGGACTCTTTCACTGGTTCTTACAATAACATCGTTGTTTATTTTAATATCCTTTAGATTTTTGCTAGCAACAGCAACAGATCCTTCGACAAATCCACTGTAAGGGCTACGGGATATCCCTAAAGTATTCATCATTATGTCTTCACTAAGCCATCGGTAAGTCCCAAGACCATGGGCCACAAAAGAGGCTATTCCTTGCTTCTGCTCTGTGGATGCTTTGACGTTCTCCATCTCCAAATATGATGCAAGTAAAATATATGCTGATAAACCTAGGCCACTTTCGTATGCAGCACTTATAACAGCCATCTTCCCATGCTGCTGTGCCCACCGAGCAATCAGTGCTGCATTCTCAAACCCTCCCACAACAGTTGGTTTAATAACCTACGAATATCAAGAATGATAAAACAAAATGATATAAGATAGAGCCGATATTTTAACATGACAGTAACTAAAAAACACATCTCCTAGTCGATCAAAAAGGGAGGCAAGATGAGATGATGAATGAAGAAACAGTCACACAAGAAAGAATATATGTTTTGACAATCTCAAGCTCATGTAAATGATGTAAAAGAATGACCAGGGGCTTACAACAGCAACTATTCCAGGATGGGCATATTTGGTAAGCATACGCAGAGGACATTCCTCAAAATCATCCAGAGTCTCATCAAGTGCCACTGGTAATCCACTTTCTTCATGAAACCTTATAAGATCATCTTTATTCTGGACAGGCTCCTGATATATATACAAATTTTCTTCATTGAAGTTATATAGGAATAAGATAATTTAAAATAGTATTTGAGAACACAATCAGATGCAATAATTCATACTGAACCAGACCTCAATATATTTTAGATTACAGCTTTTCACCAATAAGCCAAACTTTAGTGCCTCTTCAAAAGTCCAGCGACAATTTGCATCTGCACGGAGTTCAATTTGATCGCCAACGACTCTCCTCACTTCTTGTAGAACCAAAGCATCTATAGCAGAGTTCACTCGACGAGCAACCTGTCATTTCAGGCAGGTTTATCCCTCAGTCAGTAATCAAATAGCTAGAGGACCCGCAGAGTCAGAAAGCCAACCACCTCAATTCATGCATGAAGTAACCATCATTACAAAAAAATATACAGCTATCTTACTCTGGATGATCGAGTGTAATCTTGTTTATATGATAAAAACAACGTTGGCTTACTTTAAGTTTTATAGCACAGAACCCTTCTTCAACAAGTTTTCTAGCAACACATGCGACCTCCGATGGAGTACCTTCAGAATCTAAAAGGGCGCATATTTGAACAGAGTGTGGCTGAGCAGAACCATTTTCTTCTTTCTGAAGATGAAGTATCCCCAACAAACTAGAATCATGTCTTACTGCCAATGCATTCAGAAGAGCCATTTCCAAACCACATCTGACACTCTGGAAAATTGATGATGCCTGAAAAAAACGAAGGAAATGGACAAGTCTTCAGTTATCATTCCCACGCAACTATTTTTCTGTAGATAGTTGACTATTTCTTGAACAAGAAGACTTGTATCTTGCTCAACAGAATCTTTTCATTTACTTAGCAATTTTCTCCTGATAGACAGAAGTTGTAAGGATGTACTAATTTTCTACTTACAGAACTAAGGCTAGAGAAACTTACAGTGATTCCAAGTTCACTCCAAATCCAGGAAGAAACCGAGCCATTCAACAAAGGAAGCATGTAACTGAATTTAGCTCCTTTCATAATGTGAAGAACTAACTCTAGCTGCCCCTCCACATCCATTAAGCTCTCTCTATTACTGTCCAAAGGTGCAACCTGCTCATGAAACACAATATGGGAACATGATTCTCAGTGGCACATGTAAGTTTAATATAAGCTAATCCTCTGGCAGTGGACCTGGGAGAAGTATCACAAAACCTAGTGATGAAAATTTAATAGAATAAAATAGCTAACCTCTCCATAGCCAATGCTTCCATCCTCCAAAGTCAGGGAGAGAATGAACCCTTCTCGATGGAATTGAGAAAAATCATCAGAACATATGGTAGGTCTATCACATAGTTGGATTCTGCAAATAGGCTTTTCTTAGAAAAAAAGAAAAACAAAAAGAGAACGGTATATTCAGATATACTTTCTGCCAAATCCTTACCTGTACCGCGAATATTGTATTCCAGAGACTTGGCAAAGAAGTACATTTCCGATAATCGGATGAAGAAGAGAACTGGCCGAGATAATGCCCAAAGAATTGTCTGCAGCTTGGCGTGCAAACCTCTCCAGAGTACTGTGAACGAGTATTCAATGTCATCAAAGTGCACAGAAGCGAGGACATATAAACCCCGGAAAAAAGAAACAAAAGCCCATAAACAACCTATGAATGATTGCGTTAGCATCTATAGAGCTTTCAACCTCCACAATGCAATCCATCTCTTCCATGCTGGGTACAAATAGAGCTTCCTCAAATTCACTTTTCGTCCCAACATGTACATACCTCAAACTGCATGTTTAGGTCTGAGTTATTTCTTATTATGAAAGATGAAGGAAAACCCTACATGCATAAGGATACCATAAATCATGGAGAACCAACTCGACTATAGACTAAGAAATAGATTCAGTGAACAAATTAAATGACCATCTACGCTATCATTACTGGATTACTTTTTCTTGTATGTTTTATATATATCTGTGCTTTTTCAAGTGTATCTAAAACAAAACTAACTTGTCAAATTTAACCACCCAGAAAAATATTATCTATACTTTTTCCCTCCAAAACCTACATTCTGTAGAACCAGCAAACATTGAAATAAAAGGAAAACAAAGTAAAAAAATGTTACCCATGTGCCAAACACAAGTTCTCAATGGATATGTCATGTGATGTATAGAAATATTGATTTAACACGCTAGGTTCTGTTCTCTTTGCTATAGGAAGAAGTCGGAAGATTCCACCTCCACGGTTGTTTATCACTAGAATTGTCATTGGTTTCCTCGCAATCCTAACAAGACATATTAAAATCGTCAACTTGACTTATAAACCATGGCATATCTTCAGTGTATAAGATCCACCAACAGTGAAATTACCAACAAGAAAAACAGAGGAAAAGGGATACCTCTGCTTCAAAATCGCCAATCCATTTGTATCATGAAGGAAAGAGATGTCCCCCACCACACAAACCACCTGATATATGTTTGTTTGACTTATCAGGAATTTAAATTTATGACACGGTAAACATAAACACATGAGTAAATGGTACTGAAGAGCATCCTACTGCAACTGCAAATGAAAGCATAAGAGGAAATAATCAGATAAAATCTTACTCTCTTCTTGCATCCTACAGCAAAGCCAGTGGCCGAGCTGAGCAAACCATCAATGCCACTAGCTCCTCTATTTCCAGTTACTTGTATCCATTGACATGGTAGCTCTGCATTTAACATCATATCTACCACATGAGAATAATTTCCCGAACTACATCCATACATATCCACATCCCTTATTGGCATACTATTCCCAACGAAAAGAGCAGTTTTGGAAGTCAGTGCTTTGGAAAGCATATGTGCTACATAAGGTTCAGTAAGGGAGCATTCAGCAGATATTTGAAATGACATTTCCCGGGTAATCTGCATAAAAAAATGAACTATTAAAAGCAGTACGAGTTAAATTTTTTTTTTTTTATGCAATCTTCAGGGAAGCATATGTTTTGATTTATTGAAAGCGGCCATGTTTGATGTTATAAGGCATTTTAAGTAAAAGGTTTTTCTGGAGGACATACAGCGCCATCCAATGCCTGTAGATGACCATGCAACTTGCTTCTCCTCCATGGAAATCGAGATCTAAGCACACACTCAGCAAATTGAACAATGTTGCTTTGGACCCTGTGAGTGACCAGGTGTGATGGGTCATGTCTGCACGGATGCTTATCAACCAAAATGTATGCAAATGGAAAGCATTTCTCTAGCACCTGAGTAACTCTTTTACTTGTTATCCGACTTCCAACCTATTCATCGTTTCATATTACAAACTCAGTCAGAACATATCGATATAATTAATATCTACTCACTGAATTCTCGGTTTGAAGTCAGAATATGTTAAAAGAGAACCCTAATATGAAAGATCTAATCATGCTTCACATAGTTCCTAGATCCAAATTCCTTATCATTAAACTGAAACTCTTCAAGGCGTTCAAAACCCAACTTTTATTTTTGATTGATAGGTACCACAACAATAACTTTGTCCCTCCATCTATCATCTTCAATAATTAGTCTTAGATGCATGAAGCAAAATTAAAGAATGATAAATTTACCTGGATAACAACATCAAACTCTATCAAATTCCTAACAGAATCTGAAAGCAGGGCATGATCAAGATGATCAACAAAAATAGGGGTCACATCAAGAAAGGGTCTAAGAAGCTTGCGCAGCCGTACACCAGACAATACATCTGCAACTACAGGCCACATCAGCTCTTTAGCCAACATAAGAGAAGCCCAAATTTCATCCTCTGTATGGATAGCACCAATAAGAAGAAGACCCTTCTTAGCCTCTTTGATTACTTGTAAAACCTCAGTGATTTGGCCAGTTGTTACACCATTGCTTTTAAGGCTTTGTACTTGAAAATATTTTGTGAATGGTTCAGAATTAGACATCCACATGTCCAATCCATTTAAGCAGTTGAATGACCAATTTGTTGGACTACCGTCAAGTGGGTCTCTAAACGGACAATTGAGATGTACTGGTCCACAAGCAGAACCTGTTGCCCAATGTAGAGCAGAGTCTACAGTAGTAAGGACCATCCGGACTGGAATAAGATCAGTTGGAGGAGGAAGATTGAAGAAGAATCTGACAAACGAGCCAAAGTGATTTATCTGTGACACATGAAAAGAAACAAAAGAGATTGTAGGATATAGAAACGGAACACACCAACAAATCCAATTGGGACACCATAAATGTGTATAGTTTCAAAGAAAGGTCTTATCTTGACCTTACTTGATTTATCGCTTGATTTGCGCCAACGCCTTGAAGTTCAGGAGGACGATCTGCAGTAAGTAGTAGCAGTGGTAAAAAATCCTCACTGGCTTCAACCACCTGTATTTGTCAAAAATCATAAGAAAAATACCCTGTAAGGGAACAAAAATGGATTTGGTGAAGTATGTGGAATGCATCAAGCTAATAAAATGATTTAGTGAAGCATAAATAAGTTTAACTCTGACCGCTGGAAGAAGATTTGAAACGGCAGTTCCTGATGATGTTATAATGACTGCCGGTTTGAGGGATCCTTTCGCATACCCAATAGCGTGAAAGGCAAGAGATCGTTCGTCAAAGCATGCAAGACACGTTGTTAGGGGATGGTTGGCAGCAGCAATAGCAAGATGGGAAGACCTTGATCCAGGAGCTACACAAAAGTACTGTGGCAGTATGTTATGAAAAAAAGACATCCAAATTTGAGATGTTATCAGATAATTGACAAGTTCAGCTCACCGTCAAACCAAGACGAGTGCACTCTTCAATTATAGCTGATGCCCATACAGCATTGATGTTAGCCTCATTTTTCAAGAAGTTGCTCACTTCAGTTTCCTGATTCAGCTAATAGCC